AGGGGTGGCGCTCAAGGCAGAGGTGGCAGGCGGGGGCCCTGAGGGGTAGGTGGGCGGCACAGCTGGGGACTGGGGGTGCTGGTTGCTGTGGACGGGCTTGGAGCCATTTTTGGCTGGAGACTGCAGGGAGAAGAAAACAGAAATCAGAGCAGGGTGGGCTAGCCAGACCCTGACGGCCAAACGTGGGCTCTGGGGGCTCCGAGCCCTGGTCATTGTCTCCTGCCCAGCCCTGACGTGGGCTCAGTTGGGGCGGCCAGGTGTCCACAGCACAGGGGACATGGCGAGCAGTCACAGTGCTTCTGACCGTCACTTATGGGTCACTGAAGCCCCTCAGAAGGCTGTAAATCACAGCGTGCCAGCAAGTAGCGGCCAGGCAGCCCAAGCAGGTCAGGCTCTGCAGGAGCTGGGCCCTATGCCTGGACTCAGCCATGACAGGCACCCCTGCCTCGGCTTCTGCCCCTGCCCCTGCCCCTGCCCTGCCTGCCTGCACCTCCTGGAGCTCACAGCTCTTCCTCACCACGTGGCTGTGCTGGGAGGCAATGGCCAGGGAGCAGGACCCGCAAGGGCCACCCACCCCTCAGGAGCACCACTGTAAGCCCCGCACGGCACCAGCCCTGCCCACTCCTGGCCCTCTGCACAGATGGCCGTTTCCAGGGCGCAGCACAGACGAGCGAATGCCGGGCCACCCAGCTGCCGCAGACCCACCTGGCTGACCTCGCTGTCCGTGGAGCGTCCCCGCTTCTTATCGTCCTCCGAGTTCTCCTGGCAGGGGAGGCGCGGTCAGAAGGTGCTGGCTCTAGCCGCTGCCGCCCCACGCCCAGGACCCAGTGTGGCCTGAGCCCCCGCGAGCACCAGGTCCTGAGCAGCCTCTGGGGACCCCGCTGTGTGGCCAGCTGGGCCTCACCGTGGTGCAGTTGGCCGGGCTGGGCGGGATGGGCGAGCTGGAGGTGGTGGAGGTGGGCGTGCTGCTGGACTGATTGAAGATCTCGTCCTCCATGTGGCTGTGGCTGGGAGGGGAGGTGGCGACCAGCGCCTGTGCTGTGGGGGCAGGGAGGGGCGCTCAGCGTGGGCACAGCCCCCAGCCCCACCCTGCACATGAAGGGCAGCCCGGGCCTCACGAATGTCCTCGAGGTCCAGGTCGTCATAGAGAAACTCGTTCTCCTCAAAGTCGGGGTCCTGGGACGAGTCGACGTAGTACTCGACATCGTCCTTGATCTTGCGGATGGCATCCACCAGGATGGAGTCGTTGTCCAGCATGCGCAGGATGGTCTCCAGCATGCGCACATGGTAGCGGTGCTTCTCGATGTGCCGCTTCAGGCCCTCGATCCGGTCCTGCTTCTGCTGGCGAGCCCAGGGCCAGGCTCAGGGGCTGCGGAGCTCCTGCCCGGCCCCCCTGCCCACAGAACCCATCCTCAGTCCCCAGGCCCCATGGGGACCACACTGGGGCTCCTGTCACTCCCTCCCCAGCCTGTCAGCGCTGCCAATCCCAGGAAGCATGAAACACCAGGGCCCAGAAACACCCAATGATGGGAGCCGCCTCACCTGTTCTGACCTCCTGGGGTCCCCTGTCCTCCCTGTCCTGCTGCAGAGTAACAGTGCCAGACCCCAGCGGGGACTGCGGCCATCTATCGCCCTCGGGAGCCGATTCAGAAGCCCCTCCGTGGCCCCAATCCCCTCTCCTAGCTCACACCTTGGCTCGCCTGCAACCCCTCCTCTCTTCAGGGACCCACTGTCCTGTTGTCCCTCCAAGCCCCTGGGCCCAAAACCCTCAGGGCTGACACCGACTCCGGCACGGGTCTCACTCCTGACACCCCAGCGGGGTACCCAGCAAGCAGTCTGCACGCTCTGAACGGACACCCTGGGTCCTGTAGGGCAGGACCAGGGCCCAGACCACGCCACCCCACTGACTCCACCTCTGCTGCCCTCTCCCGGGCACCCCAGGCACTGGACCTGGCCCAGCCTGGCATGCGCTGCCTCTAGCCCAGCCTGCCCTGCAGGCGGCCCCCACTCACATCCTTGTCACCCTTCTTCTTACGCGTCTGCACCGACAGGGACTCCACCTCGCTCTCAAACTGGTCCACCTGCATGTTCAGGGTGTCGATGGTGTTCTGGGGAGGAGAGGATGGGGTTAGCAGGGCTGGTGCACGCTGGAACGGCCCTTCGCGTACCTCCACATCGGCCCTGCTCACCGTGAGCCACTGGCCAACCTCCTCCTTCTCCTTCTGGGCAGGGTCCACCTTCTGGGCCAGGCCCAGGCCCTCCTTGCTGTAAGCTTTGGTTTTGGTCTCTCGTTCCACAACTTTGAACCGTTCCATTTGCTGTGGAGAGTGCAGTTGGCAGGGGGCTCTTGAAGGCGGGAAAGGAGCTGACTAAGGGCCAGTGACACTCGAGCCTGAGCCTGGGGCCCCCGCCCTGGCTCCTCCTGTGACCTCCTGGGTCTGGCTGGTCCCAGGGACCACGCGGCCACTCCCCAAGCTTCCCAGCCCCGGCTCTGGCCTCCTACCGTCTCGATGAGCTTGCGGTTGTCTATGAGCTGCCGCTTGTCCTTGATCTCGTTGGAGGCGACCCATGTCTTGATCTGGTCCCTCAGCCTCTGCAGACGAAGAAGGCATCAGACCCCGGAGCCTGGGACCTGAGTCCCGGCCCTCAACCCCGGGACCACGCAGGATACAGAAGCCCCGCCCCAGCCCCTCACTTGTAGTTTCTTAATCTCCTTCTTCAGGTCGGCCTCGTACTTCTCCTTCTGGTTCGCGTTGGCTGCATTGTGGAGCTGAGGATGGAGAGCTCAGCAGTCGGCGTGGGAGCAGCCGCCCCGTCCAGCTATGAGACGCTCATGCAGCCCCTCTCCCCCAACACCCGGCTCAGGCCGCCACCCTGTACCTTCTGCCAAATGTCTTCAAACTGCTCCACGCCCTCGGACACCTTCTTCAGGCAGCGGTCAATCTCACCTGGCAGGGAGGAGGCAGGCTGTCAGGGTCCCGGGACTCCCAGGAGGGTGGGCCGCGCGGGCAGGGCCGTACCTTGGAGTTTGCGCTTGTCTGCCATCTTCCCTGCACTACGGACGCGCTCTCTTCATACTCTCCTGGGCGCGCTGTGGGGAGGCACAGGGGGGACATGCGTCACCACCCACCTGCTCCAGCCCTCAAGGGGATTTCCTGAGTGGGACGATTCACATGGCCACTCCAGACAGGTCAAGAGAACAGAGGGCACCTCTGGGGGCAGAGGGAGGGCGACAAGCAATGCCCAGAACCGTGCAGGGCTGGACCCACAAGAGGGCCGCGGCTTCAGCTCTCGTCCGCAGCAGGACCGTGGACCCCACAGATCACGGTCCTCCCCCAGAGCCCGGGCCTGAGCCCAAGGCGGGTCAGGGATGGGTGGCAAGAAGTGGTCTCAAGGGAGGACTAAGAGAACACACAAATCTTTCAAAGACGAGAAGGCGAAAAGGTCCCTTAGCTGTGAGCTGCGCACAATTCTGTATCAAATGCACTGGCAATTTACACCCAGAGAAACCTAAGCCACCAGGGCAGGTTCCCAAAACGTCTTTGCCCTACACGAAGCTGCACACAGCCTAGAGAGGACTGAGGTCCGGGGAAGCCATGCCGCAGGGCCCACACTGTGAGAAGCAGGGCTGTGCTGAGGGCTTCTGAGCTGTAGCAGAAGCCGCACCCACAACCTGGGTCCACACTGAGAAGCAGGGTTCTGCGGCCGGGGAGCTCCCAGGCTGGCCGCAACCGCACAGCAGAGGTCACTCCACACACGGGACACACCAAGGTGGCCCATCTGGCCGAGAAGGGGACGCCTGGAGAGAACAATTCTGGGCTGCAGAACACAGCAAGGCCCCTGCAGGAAGAGGTCCATGGGCCGCTGTCGGCCTGCTCAACACTCGAGATGCAAGAGCCGTTTTTCCTGCTCACACTACCTTCTCACTCATTGCCGTGTGGGGCCGGATAGGAGCCCTCCCCGGGAAGAACAGGCCTCACTCTGGGAGGAAGCAGGTAGGCAGAGGTGGCATAAGACTCAGGGGCTCAGCCCTCCTCTGCGAAGGGCCCAGAGGCAGCGGGCACACCATGCATGGGCACCTCCAGGGGACAGTGCCACAGAGGACTCCAAACGCTGGGGCTGGGGAGACACTTTTGAGCCGGGGAGCTTAGCCAAGGGCCTGGGCACTGGCATGGGGTGTGCGGGGACCCTGCCACCACAGGAAGCCTCCCCCTGCACCAGGGACAGAGCTCACCCTCCCGCTCTACCCACGAGGGTCCCAGGCAGGCGCTGCAACCCAGAAGACAGCCCTCAGCCTGCACCAGAGCTCAGCACTCTCCTCTCGGACTGGGACCTCGGCCCCAAAGAGGAGGCAACACACACGAGACCGTGCAGCAGCACGAACTCTCCAAGGAGTCAGACACAAAGTGCCACAGAAGGGGAAGGTCCTGAGGGAGGCTTCAGACACCAAAGTGGGCACAGTTGTGACTGCCAAGGGGCCTCCTCCATCAGCCCCACAGGAACCTGGAACCTCAGCCACAGAGGAGGCGACAGCCCTGCTCCACACGGCCGCCGGAGAGCAGGGGACTTCAGCCCAGAAGGCAGAGGAGGGGAAGGAGGCTGAGCCCTCCCAGGGAGGTAACTACCGCAAGGCCCCTCCAGGCAGGTGGTGCCACCAAAGAAACTGCTGGGACAGCAAGGGGGCCCCAACCAGCGCAGAGACGGGAACGACCCCTGGCTGACGCGGCTCACCCCCGAGGACTGCATCCAAGGAGCAGGCGCCACGCTGACGGGGCAGGGGACGCAGCAGTGACAGCTAAGGCCCAGCAGAACTCCCCGTTGGGACAAGAGCCCTGGCACAAGCCCTCAGTGAGGGAGATGAGGCTTTGTCCTTCACACTGGGGCCACCACGCCCACACGAGGGTCCTGGACTCCAGTGGGTGGCCAGCTCTGGGGAGCAGCGCTGGACCTGGAGACTTGGACGTGGAGGCTGCCCGCGCTGCCACACAGAGGGCTTACAGTTCTGGGAGGCGGATGGGTCAGGCCCCGGGCAGGCCCGACACCTAGCTGGGGCTGCGAACCCCACCCTGGAAAGTTACACCCCAGGGAAGGTGGCCAGGGTGGGGTCCCTCCTGAGTCCCAGGCTCCCCGAAATACCCACAAGGCGCCTTGGCCTTCTTCCCACATGGTGAGAAATCCCTAGAGTGGGGGTGAGAAGTGTCAACCAGGCGCCTCACCCCGAGGGGTCCGCGACCTCGGTGGGGACACACACGATGGGCGTGGGACACCAAGGCAGGCAGAAGCCTTATCCCCAGGGCGCCAACACTACACGGCGGGTTGTCGCCCCAGCGGGACCGAGAAAAGCTGCCCGTCGGCCTCGAGTGCCCGAGGGGTGCAGGCGGTGGGGGCAGCCCCGGGCGTCCCGGCGATGGGTCGGTCACACATCCACTGGAGGGCTCTGACAACGCCACCAGACGCAGCGGGGCTCTTGGCTCAGTGACACCTCCGAGAAGGGGTGGAAGCGGGTGTACACCCTGAGTATGGGGCAAGCGACAAGCGGTGCGGCGCGCGGTCTGCGGGAAGGTCCGGGAAACGCTTAGCCGGGGAGGTGACAGCCCGGGGACCTGGGGGCAGCTGCCACTTAGCACGCGCACTGCCCACCGCGGAGCTGAGCATCACCAGGGAGTGGGGCCCGGCGGTGCCGGACATCTGGGGGACACATGCCCGGACCCTGACACCGCCA